TGTTTGTTGCGCCGGTCGCAACAGATTCTCATCTCTACTTAGGAATGGGGAAAGAGCAGGTATGGCGTTATTCCTGGCAAGCGGATCAGGTTTGTTTTCACTCTCTTCTTTTGGAGGAGGTCTCTGCTGCAGAAAATTAGAGTTTAAGAGTCCTCACTGGCCTCATGCTGACCCCAACCCCTTCTGCCATTGTAGAGTCTGGGGATCAGAAAGGCATGGTAATGAGCCCAAGATCACAGAGCTGGAAGGTGGCTGAGCCAACACTCAAACCCAAAGCTTCTCTTTGTCTACAAACAAGGATAAAAGAGATCCTTCACTTACCAGTTTTGGAGTTTGGTTCTCTGTATGGAAGGCAACTACTTGACAGGTTTCCTAGAAGACAAGTCAGGAGAGAGGTGGGGATGTGGAGTTGCCCATATTCTACCCACTGAAGCTCATTGCCATCTAACGCTGAGTTCCTGGGAGCTCTTGGGACCCCTCCCCATAATCCCTGGGGACTGAATCCCAGAGACTTCAAGATGCAGAGAGAAAACAGGAGAGGTTGGGGATGAAAGGGGCCTCTACTTAAGAGGAGGTTTCTTGATCTTTCCCCAAAGGCAAAGGCACCTGTACCACCTTGGAGATCTCTCTGTGGGTGGGAGGTCAGGAGGGGCTCCTGGGAAATGAGTAGTGGTGAGGGGCCAATGCAAGCTATGATATCCCCAAACTGAGCCCCTTTTCTCCCCCTCCTGGGCCCGCCTTGACCCCTTTCCATCTTCCTCTGTACACAGACCCCCCAGTGTGGGTCTCTGTGCAAGATGCACAGGAGGAGGCTGGAGGTGAGTCCTCAGTCTCTCCTTCCCTGTTTCTTTATCTATGTTTCTCTCTCTCCAGAACTCCTAAGCATCCTCCCATTATCAGTAGGACACCCTTCACATATAGCCTTCAGATATATCCTGAATCACTGGGCACAGAGCAGGTTGTGTGCTTCCTCACCTGTGACAGAAAGGTACAGTAGGTCACTTGGGCCTGACCATTCACAGGGAGAGGAGTTGAAAGAGCCATGGCATATGTAGGTCCCACCCAGGGCTGGTTTTGCGGGACCCAGAAGGAAGTGGGCCCAGGATGCACCATCGTGCCTCTGCCCCTCAGCCAGCTGGTGCCCACGGAGCTGCCCATCCCTGGGTAGATGGTACACGTCCAAGTTGCTCTCTGAGCAGCAGGACAGGGTCATGTTCTCTCCTGAACTCAGCACGGCACCCAGCTGGGCCCAGAGAGAAAGTTTCTTATGTAGACGTGGAGGAAATGGAGGCAGTTCAGTTAGAGAGGCTTTCCCTTGCTCACAGTGTACTTCACACCTGGACTGAGAATTCTCTTTCCCTGTTCCCAGAGCCTAATGTCCACTTTGTCCCCTCGTGTCCACCTCTCTATTTTCTGTTCTTGCCTTCCTCCATCTTTCCCCTTTTTGTGTTGGTTTACTCTCTCTGCCTCTGTGGGATCTGTCGGTTTGATCTGTCTTTTTCTTTCATGAGTCTCTTATTTCATCTTGTCTCTTTCTGCATTATCTATCTATCTTCTATCTACCATCTGTTTATTATCTATTATCTATCATCTATCTATCTATCTATCTATCTTTCTATCATCTATCTATCTATCTATCTATCTATCTATCATCTATCTACCTGTCTCTATTACCACCGTCTTGGTGACTTTCTATGCTTCTATATCCCTAGTTCTCTTTTGGGATCTCTGTTATCTACCCCACATTATCGTCTTTCTCTATCTTTGTGCTCCCGCTCAGGTCTCTGTCTTTTAGGGCTTTTATCTGTCCCCTCCATCTTTATGTCTACTTCTCTATCCCTTTTTCTTTCTTCTGTTTTATGTGTCACTGAACCAGTGTCTGTCTATCAATCTGTCTGTCTCTGTCTCCCCTCCATTCTGTGTGTGTGTGTGTGTGTGTGTGTGTGTGCACATGTACACATTGCATTTCTGTGTCTCTTTACATGAAAGACTTTATATGGCCATTGATGTACATTGACTCTGCTTTCTCCCTGAATGCATCTTTCTGTGGGCTTTGACCTCAGTAATCCTGTAGCATCTCGAGCAACCTTGAACATTGGCCCAAGAAACAGCTTTGGGAACCCATAAAACATACCACATATAGGAGCTAGTGACTGTCTCCTCCACCTGGGACCATAGTATCCAGGGTCACATTGTGGTTCAACTACATGGGATGAAGTCATGTAGGAGGGAATACCACACCTGTGGGTGCCACATGAGGAGAGGACCCAGGGCCCATGGGGAATCAGCCTGAGAAAGGCCAACCTGGCCTCAAAACTTGGTCATATACGTGGTGTGTCTTTAGGTTCTCCTGGTAGAGAAGAGGGTGTGGAGATTAACTGGAAACCACTTTCTAAACTGTCCCAGGTTTCTGAACAAAGTCAGAGTGGAAGGGCACCTGTCTCTGATGTGAATGTACCCATCTGTGTCCCTTCCTTCACTCTTTGCCTCCACTACTGACTCCCTATTTCTGCCCCTTATCTGTCCTTTATGTTATAACTAATGGTTTGTACTGTCACCCTTCTGTCATTGTCTCTCTAGGTGTAGCTCTTGCCAAGGCTATCTCTCTGCATAAAAACCCATGTGCGTGTCCCTCATCACCACCCGGGGCTTCCAAGTCTTAGAACACCCTGTCTGTATCCCAAAGAGGATGGGAGCAGGACATTCTCACCTGTGATCATGATGTCCAGGAGGTCGCTGGGGGTAGACCACTCATAGAAGGAGTGATTCAGAAAACCGAAGCACCTGTAGGTCCCTGCATGGGCAGCTGTCACAGGACCCATGATGAAGTTGGCATGGGAACCCTCACGATGGGGCTGCCTTGGATAGCTCCTCACTGTGAAGAACGAAGCTTTCAAACTGGATCTCTGAGCGACAATGCAAGGTCATGTTCCCTTCTGATTTCACCAGGGGACCTGGCTGAGCTGAGAGGGAAGGTTTTCTGTAGACCCCTAAGAACATGGACATTGTAAGTTTACAAAGAGCGACCCTGCCTCACCCCATTCCCTGGGACCCTAAATGAGTGAGGGTGCCCCTCTGTCTGTCTTTCGCCTCCTTCTTTGTGTCTCTGTGTCTTTTTCTGTCTGCATGTCCCCCTCTGTCTCTGCCCCTCCTTTGCTCTGTTTCTCCATCAGAAGAAACAGCACCAGATTCCATTACCACTGTTCTCATCCTTGACACATTAACTGTTGCCCCTGTTTCCCACAGACCCCTTTTCTGCTTTGTGTGATGGGGGTGGGAGAATGACACTGCAGGCCGCATTTCCAGGCTCTTTTATCAGACCAGTCCCTGCTCTGTTTGACGAGTTGGAATCCCTGGTAGGGGACAGGAATTAAGCAGTAAAGCAGGTACCACAGTAACTCCCAGTGCCTACCAAGCGTGTGCCTAGTGGGGATGGGCACATCTTCTGCCATGTCTGTGACTTCTCCAAGGCCCCAGCTTCCACAGGGCACCCCTGAGTCTGGCTTTGGGAACACTCCCCCCATTATGTCACTGCAGTCTAGTGGTGGCATCAACATCCTGCCCTTACCTATTGCTGGGAGTAGCTTCACTTTCCCTGTTTGGTTTCCTAATTTGTTCCTCACCTAGGTATCTTTATTGGTTACCTGTTGTTGCTGTAATAAATTGCTACAAACATAATGGCTCAAAAGAGCACCAATCTGTTGTCTTATAGTTCTGGATGTCAGAAGTCCAACATGGGTCTTATGGGCTGGGATCAAGGACAGCGTGGAGAGGACTGTTTCCTTCTGAAGGCTCAAGGAGAGAATCTGCTCCTGTGTCTTTTCCAGCTCCTAGGAGCTGCCTGTATTCTTTGTCTTATGACCCCTTCCTCCAACGTCAGAGCTAGCAATGGCTGGTGGAGTCTTTTTCATGCTGCATGACTCTGAAGCTCATTCTCCTGCTTCCTTCTACCCTTATAATTACAGTAAATCCGCCTGGATAATCCAGGATAATCTCTCCATCTCCAGGTCATCTGCTTAATGACCTTCATTCCATATTCAACCTTAATTGGCCTTGAACTATTCATAGATTTGGAGTATTATGGTGTAGACATCATTGGGGGCCATTATTCTGCCCACATACATTAAATGCCCTTGGAGCAGCCCCTATTGTTATAATTGGACCTGACTGACACTCCCACCAGGAAACTCTGAGATTAGGAAGATCAGGTCAGGAAATAGTTCCTCTAGAGAAGCACTCTCTGACCTGTGACCACAATCAACAGGGGGTCACTGGGTGGTGACCACACAGAGGAGGAGCCAAGGTAGGATCCACGACATCTGTAAATTCCTGCATGTGCTGGGGTTACAGGGCCAGTGAGGAAGCTGTCCTGCAACATTATGCTGTGGAGTTCAGGAATGAGGGCACCAGTGACCTTGTACAGTCTGAACATGCCAAACCTGCAATGAGAGTGACACTGAAGAGTCACACATTGTCCTTGAGGAACCACTGGGCTTGGCCAGGCAGACAGAGAGGAGCACAGCACAGGAGGACCACCTGGGGAAGAAGGAAGCACAGCATTGGTCTCCTCTCCCTAAGCTCAGAGGCTCCCCCTCCTTCCATGTCTCTAAGGCTCCTTTCCAATCCAAGGGTGCCCATGCCACACAAAGACCCCACACCACAGAGACACGGCATCTCTTACAAGTAACCTGTTGACCGAGAATTCTGAGTGAGCACTGAATAGTGGGCTCTTAGTAGGTGTTGATAGTGTGAAGTTTGTTACATAAAAGAAGACAAAGTAGACACTGAAGAGGAGAGTAATGACCTATGTGAATGCCACGTCAACGAACACATGAGGCATGTTACACGACAGAGCCATGTCAGAACATGCTGGAATTCCAGGGGTTCTGGCATGTGGATTTTGTACCTCTGCCATGGAACAATGTGAGCAGCAGCATGGGGCTCCTACTCTCATGGGCGTGCTGAGGAGCTTTAGTGGCTGTCTTGTCCTCATTCTGTTGTTCCTGTCACCTTTTGCATCCCCTGCTCTACAGATGGCTTCTCCCAGACATCTCAGCTCTGAGCAGCAGTGTCTTCCAGATGGCTTTAGAGCATGGCTCAGCCAAGGAAGAGAGTCTAGGAAGGGTCTCTGGACCAGAACTAAGACTAAGGTTTCCCTGGGCCCCCACTTTCTATTTCACAAGAGATTCTTCCATAAGGCCTCCTGCAGTCAACCCATCACCCAGCCTCCTGTGCCATCTGCCCTCCTGTTATAGGGATACTCTTATCCTGAGTGCATGGCAACCCAAGTTTTGGAGGAAAAGACTCACCCACTTGTGCCCAGATCCTTTGGATGAAGAACTCTGGAAAGAAAGACTCATGATAGGTGG